ATATATATATATTATGGTACTGGGGACTGGACTCAGAACCCTGTGCTTGCCAGGCAAGCACTTATTCTACTGAGCTATCTTCTCAGGCCCTAGAACCTAATCCTGCTACCTCTCTACCTCCTGAGTCACTGGGTTTGCAGCATGCACACCTGGTAGGATTGAAAAAATACAGTGAATGTTTAGATTACAAAAATAGTTATTACGGTAAAACCAAAAACCACATAGCTATTGATCCACCTACCTCAAAATGCCCTTCCCTCCCATGCTTTGAATACACTAATCTACCTGTTCCCTGGCCACCTTCTCAAGCAGTTTGGAAATTTTCTTTTATGAGTGTCTTTTTTTGCACTATCATGGTTTCTTCGATGTCCCATTTACCTTTCATGGTTATTTTGACTTTGAGGAAGACTCAGAAGTTCCATGGGGCCATATGAGGTGAACAAAGTAGACTAAGCCACAAGAATATTCTGTTGGAGGACACTCAGAGGCGGCATCCACTAGATACTTAATCACACCTCATAAAGACCTTCACAGAAGAGGCCTGATTTAAGAGGGTAAAAGGCCCGGAGCTGAAAAAATAAACCCTCAGGAGTCCAGCGGACTAGAGAAGCTACAGTGGGTAGCTGCAAATCTACACCCTGCCCTGTGATACTGACTTGGACTTGCCTTCTAATTCTAGATCTCCACCTCGGATGAAGCTGAATGACTGGCTTCCAACCCTGGGCAGTCATAGCCCACACCCCCATGCCTGGCAGCTGCTTGCTTTGGGACTGGCTCCGTACAGCCTGCCAGCCACCACCCTGGAGGTGAAAGCCATGCCCAGGCCTCAGAGTACCCCCTGATGGCCTCAGCCTGGGTCCCTCTGCCCGCCTCCCGCACCATGTCATCTGTCAACAATTCCACACTGGGCAATCTGTCGGTCAACGTGTCTTCGTGCCCGGACTACCGGACCTTCCATCGCCTGCACATGGTGGTCTACAGCTTGGTGCTGGCGGCTGGACTGCCACTCAACGCGCTGGCCCTTTGGATCTTCCTGCGCGTGTTGCGTATCAAATCGGTGGTGAGCATATACATGTGCAACCTCGCGGCCAGCGACCTGCTCTTCACGCTCTCGCTGCCCCTGCGCCTGTCCTACTACGCGCAACACCACTGGGTCTTCCCGGATCTCCTGTGCCAGACATCGGGAGCGATCTTCCAGATGAACATGTACGGCAGCTGCATCTTCCTGATGTTAATCAATGCGGACCGCTTCGCCGCCATCGTGCACCCGCTGCGGCTGCGCCACCTGCGGCGGCCCCGCGTGGCACGGCGCGTGTGCCTGGGCGTGTGGGCGCTCATCCTGGTGTGCGCCGTGCCCGCCGCCCGTGTGCACCGGCCCTCGGTCTGCAGCCACGCGGGCCGCAAGTGGCGCCTGTGCTTCGAGAGCTTCGGCGATGAGCTGTGGCGCGGCCGTCTGCTCTTGCCGCTCGTGCTGCTGGCCGAGGCGCTGGGCTTCCTGCTGCCGCTGGCGGCGGTGCTCTACTCGTCGTGCCGAGCCTTCTGCGTGCTCGCGCGGCCCGACGCCCCGCAGAGCCGGCGGCGGCGCAAGACCGTGCGCCTCCTGCTGGCCAACCTCGTCATCTTCCTACTGTGCTTCGTGCCCTACAATGCCACGCTGGCGGTGTACGGGCTGCTGCGTGGCGACTTGGTGCCCGCCCGCCCCGGGACCCGCGAGCAGGTGCGCGGAGTGCTGATGGTCATGGTCCTGTTGGCCGGCGCCAACTGCGTGCTGGACCCACTGGTCTACTACTTCAGCGCAGAGGGTTTCCGCAATACCCTGCGCGGCCTGAGCGCCCCGCTCCGTGCCCGCACCTTGGCCGGGAACGGGACCGGGGACGCTCCCCCTGAGCCGCGCTGGGAGACCCTCCCTTCCGCCAGGCTGGATGCCACCGACCAGGGGCTACTGCAGGCCTCCCACGCTAGCCCTGTGAACCAGGACTCGGCCCTCTGAACCACGTCGGCCCTAGTGCTCTCTCTGCGGGACCTCGGACTGCCGCACCAGCATCCGGAAGTGAACAAAGCGAGCGAGCGAGGTCACGGAGGAAGAGCGCTGTCTGCCCTGGCTTCTTTGCATTGGTGGCAGAGAGCAGCAGGCTCCTTCAGTTGGTGGGAAGTAACAGGAGGAGCCCGGCTGTGCCTAGGAGCTAGGCGATGCAAAAGAACACTGTCCTGACTTTGCACTGCCACCATCTGAGCCCTAAGAGCCCCGGGGCTCATTGGACCAAGCTACTGAGAACTTCATGCACCTGCTCACTTCTGTGTGGAGTGAGGGCCACACCAAGCCATCATCCTGGCCCTCTGCCGGGCTCACCATGCTCAGGCATGGAGTCAGAGTGTGTGGGCAGAATTGGACTCCTTCTTGTCTAGTGACTTGTCATAATGTAGGCCTGACACCCAGATCCTAGCTTTGGTCTTCTTTCTAGGTCATTCCTTCTCCATCTGCCACTTTCAGGGCTCCCTCCTTTCCTGGACTGATGTTCTCTCCTCTTTCTCTGCCTCCAGAATGTTCTTTGCAGCACTAAAGCATTGGTTCTTAAATCTTTTTGGTTTTAGACCTCTTCACGCTATACAAAGGGAGAATCAAAGAGTTTTTGCTTATTCTTTGTTCCCTTGATATTTATCATATTAGAAATTAATGAGTTTTTAACGCAGAAATATGGAAGTGTACACTTCAGTAGCTGAGAGAGCAGGAATATCTTCACATTTCAGGGAGACACAGGAGAATACAAGTGACATCTTAGTAGTATTATGAAAATAACTGTGAGCTCACGTAGTTCATCAAGGAGCTGGTCTCTCGATCACATTTTGCTAATCACATTTGTACTGGAGTATTGGAGTGCACACCTAACTTCTTCCCAGGGCATCATCTAACAGTGAAGTGTCTGGGAAAAGGCCATGCTTGACTCTTTCATGCTGATGTGGTCCTCAGGCACGGGACTTGGTGGGGCAGCCTTGAGTCTGCACCAGCGAAGCACCACTCTGGGCTCCCGAAACAGCTCAGGAAACAAACCCCAAACCACTCAGGAGGAAGAGGTGGTGCGGTTCTGGCGAGGGAAAAGGAAGCACCCCGCGAACAGGAGGGAAGAGTGTACGGGGAAGCAGAATGAGATGGGAGGGTGGGAAAGGCCCTGAGGCCCGTGAAATGGCTTCCTGCCCGCTTTACCCGAGCGGGGGTGGGGTGGAGGGGAGTGAGCCGCTGAGCCGCTGGGCGCTGGCAGGGGCCGCAGAGGTGGCACAGTTACATCTTCAGATTCTGACATTCATGAGAGTTAGTTGTTGCTGTGTATATCCTGTATGCATTTCTGGCTTATGGTTCTCAGTATTGTGTGTGCGCGCCTTTCCCGTGTGTCTGTCTCACTTTGGAGCAAGTCTTTTGTGTCCTTACACCAGCGGTCCAGTTGGTGATTTCCAGGAGGAAAATGACCCCTGGTGGCCAAACCGAGGAACTGACCTAAACTCCTCTCAGGTTAGCTTTGCGGGCGGGGGCTCCTCCTCTCCTCTACCTGAGGATAGAGGTTAGAGCCCCAAGTTGGGTCCTTACCACTTCCTGCCGCTCCAAAGGATCCCTGTTGGTCAGCACTCGCCCCATCTCACTTTTTCCCTCGGGGTTCAAAACAGGTGCCTTTCCAGACCTTAACGCCTAAACCGCTCAAAACCTCACAGTACAAAATCTCAAGAGTTTCCCCCTACCCAAACAGAACAGGGCTGGGATTACAGGCCTGTGCCACCACAACTGGAATTGGTGACAGGTTCAGCATGCCCAGGGACAGGGCCAGCACAGCATACCCGGTATGGAACCCCATACCTGCACTTGCCTAAGCTGGCGCTTAGTCCGCTGACCTATCTTGCCAGCCCTGAACAGCACTTGTAAAAACTCCTTAAAAGGGCCAAGCTTGGTGGTACACACCTGTAATCCTAGCACTCGGGAAGGCTGAAGCAGGAGGCAAATTTGAGCCCAGCCTAGGCAATTTAGCAACACACCAAGTCCCACCATCTCAAAAAATAAAAAGGGTTGGAGATATAGCTTAGTGCAAAGGCCCTGAGTTCAACCCCCATCCCTTAAGGAGTGGTAGCTTAGGGCAGGGTGCGTGCTCCTCATTCACCACCCTCTAAGTTTGATTCCTTGCACCATAAAACTCAATAAGCAAATACATTTTTTTAAAAAAGAGTTGAGTACTGTACATTTAAGAGTAGGTACATATATGAATTCCAAGTAACTAAAGCTCACAGCTTGTATCACCTATCACAGCATATAATGTGCTTATTTATTTTTTCTAATTTATGTTTATTGTCTGTTTGTCCTCCTTGCCACTCAAGGTAGAGTGTAAGCTCCATGGGGGCAGTGGTTTTGGGGTTTTTACTTGGTTGGTTTTTTAATGTAACCCCTAGTATCTAGAATAGTGAGGAAGTCCTCAATAAATATTTGTCACCTGAATGAAGTCAGATCTTGCTGCATCCTATGGGGACCACTGAGTAGGTGGACAATAGTGACTCCAGCAGGACAGAGGGTGCGGGAATGGGGGAAGATGTGGGAAGCTATGAGTTTTTGCTCACACAGACAAACTGTGAAGGATAAAGTAGAGGAACACAGTGGGGACAGTCTGAGGCAAATAAGAATGGGCTGGGACAGGTGGCCTGTGAAGATGTGTGTGGCCCTGGGCTGGGACAGTGTGGGGTTAAAGCTGTACTGAGCAGTTCCCTGCATTCAGATAGGCCAGGGGTTTTCAGCACAAGAACAAGGACAGGGACAGGCTAAGGAGAGGTTGTAAGCAGCACGGAAATGAACAGAACCTGACGAGGAATGTGCTGTGGAGGATTCAGAAAAAGTGCTCTCCAAACAGAATTTCCCAGTTACTGAGTGGACAGGAAGGAGAGGTGAGATGTGGGAAATCCAGAGCCCTCAGCCATCTTCTGGGCTAGGAAATCCAAAGGAGAAGAAAGAGAAAAGTTTAGATTGAAAGGAAAGCGCAAGAACATTAAAAGTTTAAGAAACATTCTTTAGGCCTGACACAGTGGCACAACCTGTAGTTTCCCCTCCTAACTTGGAAGGCTGAGGCAGGAAGATTGCTTGAGCCCAGTTCAGTGCTAGTCTGGGCGATATACAGGGACACTGTACTGGGGGGAAAAACATGTTTTGTATCTCAGAATTTCAATTTAGTGCTCCAGATCCCTCCCCTCATTTAATGATCACAATCACCCCAGGAGTTAGAGTTGATGGTTCTCTCCATCTCAGATGTCGCACTCAGGACATTTTTTTTTTCTTTTTTGTGGTACAGGGGATTGAACTCAGGATCCTGTACTTGCCAGGCAAGCACTTATACTATTGAGCTATCTCCCCAGCCTAGGACAATCTTAAAAGAAGGTCCGCACAACCGGGAAGTGGCTCAGGCTCTGCTGGGGTTCCCAGATTCTTACTCTCTGCATTAAAGTCATGGCCTCCTCCCCACCCACCCTCAGTTTCTTTGCTCTCTTTTCTTTTTCATGTGGCATCAGCTCTGCCCCCTGCACTCCCAATCCACCCACCCAATGCCCTGTCCTCCTTCCCTTTACACTTTCCCACGATGGACACAGAAGCACTGCTGGCAGCTGAGAACCCACTCACTCATGGCTCCCATTGAGTTGGGCCCTCAGCACTCCCTGTGGAGGGTTGAGGAAGGAGCGGCTTCTTCTTGGTGGCTCACACAGGCAAGATGGCTTAGACTTTCTGCAGTTGGCTCTGGGATGTACCCAACATCTTGAGGACGGCACACTTCTTGTCCACCAATTCACCAAGGAGCTGACTATCGCTGGGATCTTAGTTCCTCCACAGGTCTGCTGGCCTTCGCCACATGCCCTGGAGTTGGTGCACAGCATCAGTCATTCCTCTTGAAATCCAACCAGTTCAGTAGAACCAGAACAAGACGTTGGATCTCGAAGGAGAGCAGAGACGCTTGCTTAGTTCTTGGCTCTGAACCATCTTGAAGGAAATCCCTGGAGGTCCCCACCTGGGTCCTACAGAAGAAAGGAAGAAGGGCAGGGAAGTATCACATGAAGCCTTCTTTTTTCCGTTCTCCCAGAGGCCCCAAAGAGGAGACAGGCTGGGATAATTCTGACCATACTCTCATTATCAAAGGAGATCCCTGACCTGACAAAACTGGAAAGTGAAGTTTCTCACATGGGATTTGAGGAAAACCGAAGTCTTCTAGAACCTGGGGATCAAACACACTCAGGTAGTGCCTTCAGCTGTCATTTCCTGGCAATGTGACTTCAGCCCTTTCACCTCTCTGAGGCTCTGCTTTCTTCTCTGTGAAATGGGGTTTATATCTACTTGTTGGGTATGGGCAGGGGTCACTGAGATGAAGTAAGTGCCATTGGAAGAAGGCACTTTAGAAACCCCAAGAGTGGAGCCTGTCTTTCAAACAAGAGTACAGGGCCGAGATGCAGCTCACGATGCCGTGTCTGGAAGACAGCAAGGGCTCCAGGTGACTGTCACCCAGAGGAGCCGGGCCAGCCATCAGAACTCGGCCAGAGAGCTGGTGGGGAGGCGGGCCGGGCACGTTTCCATGGTGCTGGGTCAAGCAGCCGTCTTCAGGGGCAGGGACTGGCCCGCTGCCCTCTGGGGGCACTCTCTCCCTGTGAGGCGGCGGCGTCCCACGGCTGCGGAGGAGGTGGAGAAGCGCCAGACAGGGACAGGAGGGGGACACGGTGAAGAACCCAGCGATGGCGAGCGGGCCAGGGAGGAGGCTGGAGGGGAAGGCTGGAGGGGAAGTGAGGGCCGGGCAGGCCCGGGGTGGGGCCCAGAGAGGGGCCCGGAGCCGCAGGGCGGGAGGGCGCCGGGAGGGAACGCGACCAGGGAGGGAGGAGGGACAGGGAGACTAGCACGCTGACACAGCCTCGATGTGTGCAACGGGCTGGGGTTTGGCCCACAGGTCAGGCGTCTGGCAGTATTATGGGATGGAGAGGCCTTAGGAGACAGGAGAGTATTATGGGTTGGAACAGCCTTAGGAGACTGGGGAATATTATGGGCTGGTGAGGCCCGGCTCCAACTGGAGGCGGGAGGAAGGGGTGCGGGGCGGGAAGGGGGTGGTGGTGGAAGGGATTATTATGGGCTGGAGGCCTCCTGCGACCAGAGGCAAGAGTATTATGGGCTGGCAAGGCCTTCAGTGGCCAGAGGGGGGAGCAGCGGGGGATGGCACCGGCTGCATGTGACTGGGGGGGGCCAAGTTGGGGGGGTAGTGAGTGGGGGTGGGGAGCTTATTATGGGATAGCTCTTTGTACCTACTGCGGGGACTGCTTCTCCAGAAGATATTATGGGATGTCGTGTGTGGGAGGGGGAGTGAGGCTGGGGGATTATTATGGGATGGTGGTGCAGAATGGGGAGGGCCTGAGGATCTCCAGCCCCCCACCCGTTCACACTTACTCCCATCGCGCTAAGGGTCAGCCTCCTCCAGCGGCCCAAGGGGAGCACCTAAAATCCATCTTCCTATACACATAGACACACGCACACGCACACTTTGGGTAACTCAGCCTATCCTAGTTATCTCCCCTAACTGGCAGCCACCTCCGGGGTGCGTGGTGCAGTGGGGACCGTGGCTCTGGGATGTGGAGAAGAAGCCCTACTGAGCAGGGTTGGGGTGGCCAGTGGCTCCCATTTCTCACCTTGGAGCCGCTGTCCTCTGCTCCCTAATCCCTCAGGCCACCCTCCTTCTCTTCCTCCCACAAAGTGGGGGCCCTTGAGC